CCTGTCCTTGATAATAGAATGCAGTCTCTAGGCATCAAGCCGCTACTGTTTTTGTCAAGAATTGTCTGTACTGCTCTGGTATCTATCTATTTAGGCGTAAGTATGGCAAGGAATGAATCCTATGCATAGGAGAAGAGAAAGATTCAATGACTTGTCTTACCGAGTATTCCTTGCTGGAAGGTTTTATTCCAAGTATTTTCTGTAATTAAAAAAAAAAACCAAAAAAAAACACCAAAACCCCCAACAACTTACTAACAGTCAAACTAAACTTTAGTTTTCTTATTTTTTTCTAATTAATGCACAAGATAGCCCTTGTGTGAGCCTACAGAGTTTTTTTCCTTGCCCTTTATTAATAAGCTTTCATGTTACGTGAGGCTTTAAATTTCTCTGGATAAATTATGTGTAGGTAAAATACTAACTAATTCTTTTTAATTAACATGTTCAGTAATAATGATGTTTAATTAGTTCAGATCTGCACTGCAAATTGGCCTGTATGCTTCTGTTTTTTCCAAATACAGATTAAAATTAAGCTTTATAGTTTTATAGTGAGGTTTTTTTAAGCTGAAAACAATAGTCAAAAGGAGTAAATAAATGCAGGACTGTTCTAGGACTCTGCTTTCCCCAGCACGTGATAGTCTAAAAATACAGAACTACCTAAGACTACTTTAACTGTCAAAGAGTTTCTGCAAAATTAAGTCCTTCAAACTGTCTACAAAGCTTGTCCTAAAAAGTTTCTTTAGAAACTGGATTTTGAAAAGCTGTGATTCTACTGCAGTACAATCTGAGCCTGGCAGGCTAATACTTTGAACAGGGGAAAACATTTTTAATGTGCTTTTTACAGAAGTGTGGACTATGGACGAATGTATTGTTGACAAAACAAAGCCAAGGGGAGGAGGATTCTGTGGCCACAGCAACTTGACGTGCTTCCAGCCTTCCCCATGACTGTTACAGTTGTTTTACCTCTGCTGTTTCAGCTCCCTCATCCTGATTTCACTTTTGGAGAGTTGTGCTGTGCAGACAAAGCTGATGTTGGCCAGATAGTCACAGCTGTCAGGAAATAACCCATTGCACATGAAAGTGTACTCCATGCTTCCTCTCAGGCCACAGAGCCCTAACCACATGATTTTCAGATATAAGGGACTTTCCCATAATCACAGGAGGATTAGGTAACTGCCCTACTGCTTGTTCCTTCTCTCTTGGGGAGTCAGGATTTGGTCCAAAACCAACAGAAGTCTGAGGACAGAATCTCATTGACTGACACTGGTTTTTAAAGTCCGATTCTTTATTATAAATAAAGACAGTCTTCATGGAGTGGAAAGTTTGAATAAATGTGATAATCTGAAATGACTGCTTTCTCCTAAAGTCTTCACCCTGCATCCAGCAGTCCCATCAGCCTTTGGTGTGAATGTAGGTGCTGGGGGCCTAGCAGGAACACAATTAGGCCTTACAGAGTTGTCACAAGATAAAAGATATTCTGGACTTCTGGCATTTTCTAGCTCAGCCTCCTGCTCAAAGCAGGACTACCAGCAGTGCTGGATCAGGTCAGCCGTGGCTTTGCCTAGCTGAGTCTAGAAAACCCTAAAGGATGGAGACTCTGTGACCTGAGTGGCCCATTCCAGTACTGCATTACTCACTTGGTGAAAAAAATTTTTCTTAGCATCTGGCTTGAACCTCAGAAGTAGAGACATCTGCCTATGCCACTGGTTGTTATCTGCCACTATGGAGAAGAATTCGGCTCTGTCTCCATAACTGACCTTCAAGTTGCTGTAGGCTTCTGGTAGACTCCCTGCCTTGGCCTCGTTCACCTAACCAAACCAGATGGGCTCCCTCAACCTCTCCTTGTAAGGCATGTGCTCTAGGGCCCCATCTTGGTAGCTGCCTACTGCATCCTCTCCAGTTTCTCAACGTTTTCTTTGAACCGAGGGCCCTAAAGTCGACAACAGGATTCCAGCTGCAGCCTCACCATTTCTGAGTACTGAGGCACAATGACTTCTCTCTTTGCTGACTGCATTTCTAATGTTGCCCAGTGTGCAATTTTCCCCACTTGTGATGAGAGCACACCGCTGGCTCATGATCAGCTTCACTTCCACCATAACCCCTGCATCCTTTCCAGCAGGGCTACTTGACAGCCAATTAATCCTTACTTCTCCTTTGCAACCTAATGTTACCCCAATCCTTACCTCCCCTCTTAACCAGAAAGCCATAAATTTTTATCCTGTTTGAAGATCAACTTGACTTAAAAAGTTTAAAGGGATTTTGTACTTGTGCTGTTGGCTTGATCTACTGCAGAGAAAGCGTGAGCTGCACCATCTGCCTACAGCTCTGCACGCCTCCATGTCTGGGCTGTATGCAGGATGGTGTTGTTCACTGTTGTATAGTTTTCTCTCTTGGCATTCTGTGCAGCTATCCCATCTCATTAATTACAGGCAGTTAACAACGCAGCCTGTGGAAAACCATCTGGAGTCACTAAAGAGTTACAGTTCGTCTATCCGACCAGGAAATTTTAGATGATCGCAGGCAGCCAATAAAAGGAGAGATCAGCAACACACAGCTGACGCACAGGCAGGACAGCCTGAGCTGTATTTGAATGCACTCTGGTATCTGCAGCAGTTTCGCTCCATTGTTCCACAGTTTTTATGCCTGTATTTCCAGAGGTAAGTTGATTTTTGCTTCCAATTTCTTTTACTGAGATATCTGAATATTAGCACAACATAGAGTTTGTCTCATACTAAGGAAAACATCTTCACTATGAATTCATTACTTCTTTAAAATTAGAAACTTGAAATAAATGGTTTTATAGCAGTCTCCTTTCTGCCTGCCCAGCTAGGGGAAGATGACAAAATTGCCTAAATCTTCTAGTGTCTCACTAAAAATAATATGAAACGCTTCATTGCAAAGGTCACCTAAGAAATATTTGTTTTGTAGTTTGATAGTGAGTTTTAAAATTGGTCTAGGAGCCAAAAAACATTCAGAAAAGCAGAACTGTTCCCAAATTTGCAATCTTGGGGGCGCAGAGAGGCTTTGTTATCTGTAATTCCATATTCCATGATTAGTCCCTCCAACTGTTTTAGGAATCTGCGTAGCACCCTGGATAAATAAAAGATCTCTCATTTTAGGGTTAAACTCTTTTGGAGATTATCAACAAATCACTCTAAGTCTAGGTGTGGAAACAGACCAACAAACCCAGACACAGAGACAAGGGTGCCTGGCATGTCCTGGTTTGTAACAGAGAAAGATTGAAGTGGTTTTTGTTTTGTTTTTAGAAAATCTCTATTTATGTTAGGTTTTGCAAAACCAAAGTAGGAGCTGATGGCTTTTTTTTTTTTTTTGTCTAAGTAGCCAGTTATTAAGAGTTTAAAAAGCTGCTATAGCTTTACTTGATTAAATTTTAAATAGAAATAGATACTTTCAGTAATGGTTTATATTCATTGTTTCATCTTCCTTGTACTATGTTTGGAGTTGAGTAAATTGTTTTGGCAATTTAAATTATTATTTATCATAGTATATACTAAAAATGAGACATAATTTTTCTCCTGCCAGCCTTTTGATGTAGATCTGTGTGGTCTGTCTCTGCAACTTCAAAGGATAAATGTCTCATTTGGAAATTTGTCTTCATTCAGAGCAATCTTTTCAAATTTTATGAACTCTTAACCTGCCTGTCAGCTTCACAGCATATTGAATTTATTCTTTAAGGAAACTCTAAGTGAAGCACCTAAGGCAGCTATTGCTTTCAAACTACAATAATTAACAAAAAGGAAAAATTTCAGCTGTGCTTTCCTATCAAAATCAAATACTGTTTAAGCTGAACTGGTAGATCACCTGCTGAATTATTATTTGTATTTTGTTTGTGATTAGATGCAAAACTGTGCTTTGTACCCCTCTGCGATTGTGAACGTGCCTGCATGGCACAGCTAAGGTACTGAGATTAATTGAAAATTAATTGGCCATGAACTAGGAGCAGTTCGGCCACGAGAACAGGCTAATTTATCTTCAGGGTTTTTTTCTATTTTACTCATGCAGAACAAGTGAGCTGCTCAAAGTCAGAAGCCTTTTGGGCCTTGTGCATCCCAGCAGCTGTTTTTGTAGAGGCTATCTTCTAGAAGGACACAACTCACACTCAACAGTCCTGGTTACTTCAACTTTTTGGCTCTGTTACTTCAGTTCTTCTGACTCACTGACCACTGATCTTGCAGTAATCCTTACCAATGGTTTCATCCAACCTGTTTTCTTAGTTCGCTTGTTCTCTTTCATCACTGATTTTTGGTTGTCTCTACTCTAATGCAGCTTCACAGATGTAATTAAAAACATCACTCATGTAGTAACACAGTGATGGGTTCCAGAGTTTATCTCTAATTCGCGTGCATTGCCGTGCAATGTGTCTGAGACATTCGGATGTCCCCAGAGAGGTACTGTATAGACAATATTGGCCAAATCAGTGGCCACTCTAAAGACACAGCTCCATTTAGCAGAGTTCTGCCAGCTTACAGCAGTAGGAAATTTGCCTTTTACCTTGTTTTTGCATTGACATGTGATGTTGTATTAAAGAAGATAAGCAAGAATGACACAGAAACACTGACATGAGTTACTGAATAGTTGCCTTTTTTATGAGAAGTGGGGAAACTATATTTGTCTAGCATGTAAGATACTAGTTTGTTGTCTACATAAATCAGTATTACATTAAAATCACATTTTATATTATAAATAATGGTCCCACATTTCAAAGTCATCAGATGGAAACAATAATGAGCAATTAATTAGCACCTTGCAGCCTCAGATGGCAAGTTATTGTCCAGACACTCCTTTGCAATTAGTGCGTTTTTCCTGTCTTTATAAGGAAACTCTGACACAGAGTGGTAAAAGTAAGCGCGTTGGATTAGGGCAATAGTTATTTGGGAAGTGAGGGGTGGTGGAAGGAAGTTTAACTGTGCTTCACTATAAGTAACAAAATTAGTCCTTAAAACTTTTCTGCCATTTTTTTCCCCCAAGCCAGCCATCAAGAAATGGCCAAATTGTTACCTATAGTAGCCCAGGAAGATTTGGATAGCTTCAGTTTGACCAGGACAAGCTCAGGCTTTGCACTCAAAGCCTTTCATACTTCTTGGAACACTCCCATCTTGGTGAAGCTGTTGACCAGCCAGGACACTACAGAGAGGTATGTGTCGTATTTGGCCAACTAACCATGCAGGTGGGGACAAAGACCTGCAGCGATGGCACCAGAATGAATTGTGACATGCCCAGGATCATCTGAACCCTAAACATATATCCATTCCTAGAAATCTGGACTAGCCAAGAGGCAACCTGGAGGCAGTCATACTGAGAAACAAGCTCTATGGTTTTTTTAGAAATGTTTATAAAAGTAGAGCCTAATCCTGAAGTCATTAATTATCTCTACCATAATGTCTACAGACCCTGATCAGTAATACTCAGCATGCTATGGTATTACTTCTTTCGGGAGTCCCTGAAGAGATCTCAGTTGAATTTCATTTAAAACAGCACGTGCCATTGAGGGAGTAGAGAAATGGGAGGAGGGAGGGATAATGGTCAGGGTTCCAGGGCAGTGAGATATGTACATGTCCTAATTATAAAAACAAATGAGCAGTAACTGATGGGTGTCACCCTACTGACCACAAAATTCCAGTGTGTGACAAAAACATGGAAAGTTTACAAGAATAACCACAAGCTACTTCTGCTGAAGGAAGACCAAAGCATTTTAGAGAATGCACTCATCTGACTGTTTATCAGAAAAGGAGTGTCTGATGTGCATTTATGGACTAATTACTCTTGTTAGCAAAGAACGCTGCCATTCAAGTGGCTTTTGTTGAAAGTAAAATACAAAAGTGTCCTAGGGGAATACATAGTGTTTAGTTTGTTCCACTATAAAGCCAGGGGAGGGAAAATCAGTCATTCATACAAATATTTTTCAATTGACAGTTTAAATTGTCAGTGATACTTCAAAAACCAAATGCTGCCAGAATTTTAAAAATTAAGTTAAAAAACGTAAGGGTTTTTTGTGGTTGGGGGGAGGATTGCTTGTTATTTATATAACCGAAGTCCAGCAATTTTGTAATCTTGAACAAATGTTATTCGTTTGGTATCTTCTTTAAAGAAAAACATGTTTCCTCCATCCCCTATCCAGATTTTCTTCAAATCAAACAAATAAACCCCAAAACAAAAAATAGTTAGTTACAGAAATCAACATTTTACTTTGCTTGGAATTTAACATGGTATCCTGTTTTGGCATCTTTTTACTCAAACTTGCTCCCTAAATCTAAAGCCACTGTTCTGCTCTTCTCTCCTATCGTTCTGATCTCTTGTTTACGCTACACACTGTTTAGGAAAGCTGGGTGAATAAACTGTATTTTACTCCAGCTGCAAAAAGTTTAACTGTGTGCTGATGATAAATATTTGTATTTGTAGAAATAAGTGTTAAAACAGGTGGGGCTGGGAATTACTTCCAGTGATTATTTTACAAGCTTGTGAATCAACACAGTACATATGAGAAACTGAAACTGCATTCTCAATGGAGAGGCTAGTTACAATAATGAGAATGAGCTCCAGGTCTGTTGAAATCAACTGAATTTTGAATGAATTCCAATGAATTGTCAGCTCACAAGTACCATAGAGATAATAATATCTTTAAAATCAAACAATTAGCAAAAATTGAACCTGCAACAGAAGTTCAGTTATCTCCATCAAAATGCACAACTGAATTGACAGTTCAGTGTTTCCTGTGCATGAAGTAACTGTCTGTAGTCCTTAAACAACAAAACTTTATTCTTCTGATGATGATCAAAGCAAAGTTTTGTTATTTGTAAATAAACTCTGTTTGAATTCAAGTCTACAATGCAGCCTCAGCTGAGCTTGAATCAAATTTGGCAAAGTCACTGGAATGGTACTGCTTACATCAAATCTGAATTTCGCTTCGCTTTTATATCATGCTATGATGTCATATATAATTTAATCAACATGGTCTCATTAGATAAGCATGGAAGATCATCATTTCCTTGTAAATGCAGATCTCGCTAACAGCAAAAGCACACAATGTAAATTCTTGGAGACAGTAAGGGGGAAAAACTCGATTACTCTTAATCTAGCATGTCATAATTCAGCTTTCTCCTGCCTTTGCACTTCAGTCCTGCTTTAAATTGTGCTCTTATGTTCACATTAAAGCATCCAGAAGTCTTTCATGTTCTATTAGAAAAACATACTACACAGGGGATTGCTTCATTTTCTTAGAATTGTTTGAAGATGATGTAATATTGGTTTTATTGGTAGAATTATATTAGCTTGTGTTCAGCCATATGGTTATCTCTCATTTCCATAACCTACACTATCTCATCTCTAGGTGAAATTCCCTTCAATCTAATCAGCCTCTAACTCTTGCTGTTTTTTACAGGGAGTGGAAGTTGCTACTTCAGGATATAGCAAATGTCAGACACTATGAGTCTGACCGTCTCCTGCCTTCTCTTGGGATTTACCAGTACCATGGACTTGTGGGGATAGTGACTGAGTGGATGAACAATGGATCCCTCCACTCACTCATCCATGAGGTGCATGAAAGTCATCTTTTATGTGATGAAATTAATTACAAGGGCAGCCACAAGAGAACAATCAGCACGTAAATGATGGACAGTAGTCATAGTCCATCTGTTCTTTAGCTTCTGTATTGTACTTCTGTATATTGCCAAAAGAAAATGTGAATAGTAACAAGTGCCAAACCCCATATTTGTGTTCCTCAGCATCAGCTCTACCCAGAACTTCCGTTTCCCTTACTTGTAAGAATCCTGTCGGATGTGGCTGAAGGGCTGCATCACCTTCACAGCCTCGAGCCTGCTTTCTGCCACTGCAGCCTGAAACCTTCCAATGTGCTTCTGGATACGCAGTACAGAGCCAAGGTGGTAGCTTCTACTTTTAGCCTATTAATGCAAATCCAGTGATTGTCCTATTGCTGTATATATTTATCCTAACAGTCAACATTTAATAGCAAGACTTAAGGTATTGTTAGTAAAATTTGCTTTTTCTCCCACCTCTGTAGATATCAGATTATGGTCTAACCAACTGGAGGAAACAGCAACTGAGGTCAGACCTGCAGAACTGCAACCAAAGAAACTGCCAGGATTTAGTGTACCTCGCTCCTGAAATACTTGAAGGAGGCCTTCCTTCCCAGGAAGGTGATATTTACAGGTGAATGGGATTTTTAAGGGCAGGTCATACCTAGTGCTTGCTACATTCTACAGTGTTGCCAAAATACTTATTTTCAAAGCCACTACGGTAAAAATACCAGATCTATGTAATGCAGTAGGACAGTATTCCAGATGAGGCCAATTACAGCAGTGAATGAAATTTGAAATTCCCCATATTTAGTGAATAATATACCAAGGTTTAGAACTGTTTTCAAAGTTTGCCATATAAATACTTAAATAATGGACCTAAATGTTTAAAAAGTGTAACGTAACTGCCAAAACTTTTTCATATACATTTAGAAACCTAATAACTACAATTCATATAGTTTCTAAGTGTGAACTGTTGTTGGCTTTAGTTTCAGGAAGAACTGTTGATGCCTAGATGAGGCCCAGGTAAAAATAAGACCTTTCTCTCAATAGTGTCCCATTAAGGTCCTGTGGAATCTCTGCTGGAATAATTTACTGAGCCACTGAAGTATTCGTACTTTTTAACTAAGATGATTTATACCAAGTCGGAAGATTGCCTACTGCCACATGTCCTCTTTGGATATGTTATGTGTTTCATAGTTTCCTCAATAAATGAGACAACCTCAAATTGCCACTGGTGTCTGTATGGACATCCATCTTTACAACCAGCACACAGAGCCTGTGGACTAACATCATAAATAATTTTAAGCATGACCACTCTTCTGCTCTCAGAGCTTTTATGGAGGGAGCAAATTTAAAATCCTGCTTTATCGTCACAGAGGCAGGCTCTGAGATGAGTCGAATACAGCATACACTTGAGGAGACCTATGAATGATGTGACTAATCTGGTGTTGTTCATAAACACGAGATTGTTGCGCAGGAAGAGGGGTGGCGTACTTTCAGGTGGCATAATTCATTCTCCAGCATGTCATTCTTCTATAATTTTAGCTGCTGAGATGTGACTTGGTGCATGAGATAGGTGAATGTCTAGCCAGTGGTGCAACAGAGAAAATAAAAGTATGTGTCATATAGGAAATATTACTTAAGTAAATGTAAGTTACATGTGTGATCACATTACATTAATACTTTCCTAGAGGGTATTTAAGTAAAAGCACTTTCAGATTTTATGTGGAAATAATTGTATTTTATACCATCTAAGTTGTGGGTTATATATGTCTATCTATGGTATCTCTGGAATACTTCCTAGGATGTTAGGAAAGGAAAAAAACATTTGGAGCTCCATCAAAATTTGCTGAAGAAAATAGAGACACACTGGGTCGGAATCAAGTTTTTGTTAGGTTAACTGATGTGCTTGGTAGTACCTGCTGAAAAGTCCAGCTCTTTCAGGTGCTCCTTAAATTACTTGAAAACAAGCCAAAAATTATAGAGAAAGGAGAACAGAAGATTCTGAAATTCACAAGAGCAAATGTGGTAGATAAGGTGGAGATAAGGTGGTAACCTGAAACATAATTCTATGCTTTTTAAAAATTATTTAAAAATTAATTGTAACTGATTTATTATTTTAGAAGAACAGCTCATCTGAAAACTGAAACCTAGTAATCCAGGAAAAAGAACCTCACCAAATTAGGAAAGACTTTACAAGACATTATCTTGAAAAGCTCCTTTGTCTTAAACCAATAAACTTGCTTTTGGAAATGAGAACACTGACACAGATTGCAAATTAATGAATGGTCTTTTGCTGTTCTTTTTTCTTTTTTTTCTATTTTCCCCCAAGTTTTGGAATACTGTGTTGGGAGAGCCTAAGCAGACGGAAACCTTTTGAAGGTATTTAACTATTGTTCATGTCAGCCTTTGCCCTAATCTTTTTCACAAATTCCCTCCTTGGGAAATTATGGTACAAATAGCACTGTCTTTTCACGTCCCTTTGCCTTGTATTACTGTTACAGCACGTAGCTCCATGTTATGGGATGTAAAGATTACAATCCCTCAACAAATCCTCAGTGTTTCCACAGAAGCTGCTCTTTCTGCAGGGGAAAGGTGTAGCTCCTCACCCCACTTGTATCATCTCTCTGTGCTTGCTGAAGCACTCTTACCAAGTTGGGCTTTCAGCTTACCTTTACTGAGAAAGAATACCCTTTTTATGTGACAGTTGTAATTTAAAAATCAGGGAACATTTTAGTGACAAGCATCTAACTGGATGAGCAGAATGCTCATTTTTAAAGCTGCCATGAGTTTCAGGTCCTGATCAAGAAATGCTAGTTCATGCTGAATTCTCTTAAGTAAGCAGGGAATCTTCCTTTCTTAGACGGAAGTGTGAGCAGTTTTAAATAACTTGGTTTGCAGAGCACTGTATAATAATTGTCACAGACTAGGAATGATCCCTGTTTCATGGAGGTGGAGATCAATGAAAGGCTCCATTCTGCATGGCAAAAAGGAAGGACTCCTGTATTTTACAGGCTGAGGACCTTTTAGAAACACTGCCCAGAAAGGTGTGCTGATGGTCATGCAGCCTGTGGCTGCCACCTTCTGGTGCCTGGAGTATTTCTGTACAACAGGAGTTCCTACAATGCAGATGGAAGGCTTTACATAAAACTGTGTGCTTAGAATATACCCATAAAAATTACAGGTATACCTGAGGTATCTGTGCATGTAGTTTACAAAGCATGCATACATAGCCATTGGTGACCTTATTATTTGGACAGAGTGCATTCTGCTACGGCCTGCTGCAATAAGTAGCTGTGGTTATTGGTAAAGGTTAGCACAGCTGTTCTACAAGAGTGTTAGTATGTTTTTTATTTTTGCTTCTAAAAGAACTCTCTGTTTTAAAATACGCAAAATAACTTATGCTGGATATAATTTTAAGAGAGTTCTGAGGCATTTAATGTTTTTTGCAGTGACATTTTCCTATAAATTACAGGTCAGGCAACGCTGCTGGAAGTTTTGGCAGGAATCTGCAACAGCTTGCGGCCTGGCATTTCAGAAAAGTTTATACTGAGCAATTTGCCCGAGAGGAATAGACTGTTGCGCCTTATTGCTCTGTGCTGGCATCAAGAACCAGATTACAGACCACGTACTGCAGGTAACGTTCAGGATTTGCAGTCTTCAGATCTTCAGAGTACTGTCAATGGTTTTTCTAACTGAAGCCTCCTACCAGAGGTGGCATACTTAGTTCCAAAATTGTGTTTGGTATAAAGTAAAAGTGGGTACAAATAAAGGAAGGGATATTGTCAGCTGTGTATACTATTTCAACAAATATCAACCTGTCTTGATTCCAGTGCATAACCAGTTCACTTTTGAAGTGTCTGGTCATAGTTTACTTTAGTGGAACTGTTATGTTTATCCTCTGTTTCTAAAAAGATAGCCAAGGAATGTTAGAGTTGTGATACTTGAGGACTTTTGAGCAAATTTTCAAAGCTGAAATACACAAGTGCTGAGGAAGCAGTTTGCATATAGCTTTATTGTGACAGATTTATACAGTCATGTGTAAAACTTTTGCAAATAAGTCCACTAAATCTGTATGAACATTTAAGAAAATATAATTTTAATGTGACTGTAACTGTTCTTTAAAATCGGTTCAAAAAGGAATCTAAAAGGTGGTATGAGGTGGAAGTCATACTGAACTATTTCCTATAGTTCACCTAGCTACTCAACATAATAGTAAAGTTAGTTGCTATACATTGAAGCCTAAATATATACACACTTTCATATGCAATGTGGTATTTAAACAGCTTTATTCCCCCTGCAGAATGTGTAGACCTTCTAAATGGAATTTTGACTAGTATAAATAAGGAGGCAATTTCCACTGCAATCTACAGTCTGATGGATGCAAAGGTTAGTGCAAAATTAAGTTTTATTCTCCTACAAAAACATTACCTGATTCCTTCAATTACAGTCTTCGTGGTCCAAAACCAGGAAAGGTTTTGTCTTCATTGTTTTATTGGACATGCCAGAGAGCTGGAGAGTACCCTTTGGTACTTCAGGTTCATTCAGGAATTGTAGAAGATACATATGGGAGGTTCTCTAGAAACCATGTAAATTGCTAGCTGCAATTATAAAAATATGATGCCTTCTTTCTAGTCACCAGCTGCAGTCAGACTGGTAAACCCATGCGACTGAGAACAAATATTAGCCTCAAGCAGATCAGATGAGGGCTAGAACCAAGACAATTTTTTGTTGTATGTACTGCTAAGAGATATTTATTCCAAAACCTGGACAGTGTTAGTACCTGCTGCAGCAATACTGCTAGCAGCACTTTTTTTGTATGCTTCACTGCTTCTAAATTGATGTGCTTCAGGCACAAGACACTGCTTGTCCTAGGGTCTAGGATTGTTCTCTAATACCACAGGAATGGATGGGGAATGGCCAACAACTGAGGGATACAGCTAACTCCATCTATGTCTACCTTGCCATAGGAAACCTGACACAAATCTGGCTGGCGCAAACCTGGCTGGCACAAATACAGCTATATCCTACCTAGTTAACTTAGATAGTCATAGTGGGGAAACTAGTGACACGTGCTTCAACCCTTGAACAAGAAACCTGACTCCATCTGGATTTACACAACCCATGCTGTGTTGATTTCATCACTGTGCTTATGAGAGTTGTTTATGCCAAGGTTTTATTTTTCTATTTGCGGCTTAGCAAGAGCACTATTTAGTGTTCAGACAACTGAACTGATAATATGTCCAAAATGACTATGAAAATGCTACTGGAGATTCTTGAAAATGGATTGGTTCGTAAGTGTTGAAGTATATAAACTAAAAATCTGCTGCAGATGTACAAAATGGAAAAACAGTTACAAGTATTGACACATCCTTATTGCAGACAGCTTGGCATACTAAACACAACACGGCCCTGCTGTTTGGATACTTCAAGGAAAACATGTTTTAGCTAGTCCAATCTCTCCCTCTCTCAATACAGAGCTATTTCCACCTTCCCCTGCATGATTCAAAACTGGGTTTTAAAATAAATTTGAAATAGGAGAAACAGTAAGAGGGTAGAGTTCTGTCAGAGACTATGCCCGCTTACATGTGTTGAAATGCAAAATTGCTCTGTGCGATTCCCTGTTACTACAGATCAGCATACTTGACAATATATATTGTCAGTATAAATTGCCATATAAATTCCTGCTCCTGACAACTGTGAATTGAACAAACCAGATGGATACTTACTAGAGTTACTGTTATTTTTTCCAGGAGACAGCTCTTAATGCATGCAAAGGTTCAGAAACATACACATTGCAGATGGGCATACGCAATTCAGAGGTGAGTACATGGCACAAGACTCTTACAAGGGTACTTCATAAGCTGCTTGTTTCTCCTGCCAGCCCTGACAATGCATAATACAAACACTGTGTGGCAAAATGTCCCTAAACCTTTTTCTCCCTCACCAGTGTAACTCCATCCAGCTAATCAACAAAACCCAATGTTCTACCTTCTTTCAAGTAGCTGACTCTGATGTTGTCCTTTCAAACGCAACCTCCTCCACTTAAGAGTTGCTTTAAACCTCTCCTTCTTGAAGAGGTCCTAATGAAATGGCAAAAATCTCACATTTCTTGTAGTGTGTTCAAAATGATGGCTGGAAAAATTCACAGGCTGAATTCTAGCATTTTCAACCAATTTTCTTAGAGCAAGGCAAACTGCTTTGTGATCACTCCAAAACACAGTTAACTCCCATTTTCAAAGTAATTTTGTCACCTGTGGCAGGCCTGCCAGTGCTGAAAGATCCAGCAGTAGAACTGAAGCTCACATGCCTGGATCAGAGCTAGCTTTAAACAGCTCGTGTTCTAGTGACACCGTGACTGCTGGCAGCACAGGCTGCAGAAGCGATGTAGGACTGCAGTAAATCCCAGGGCAGTTAGCCTATGGATCTGTGCTGCCACAGTGACCCAAGTAAGCAGCTAAAGTTGAATTATGTCTGTAGGCTCAACAGCTGCGCACCCACCCTGCCCTGTACTGCGATACTGCTTCCTTAGATGCCAAGAGAACATTGCTTAGAAAAGGGTTGGGAAAACAAAATTTTCCAAGAAGATAATTCTTCTCTATTTTCATCTTTTTCAGGTCATCTGTCCTCAAAAAACCAACTGCATAATCAGCAAGAAAATTCCTTTTGTAGTGCCAAGCTTATCAACTATTCTACTTGGTAGCAATGCAAATAATGCAGGAGGAGAAAATATTCTTGATACACGTCTGTCACATACTGTCCCACAGAACACAACAAAGAAAGGTCTCTGCTTTGAAACACTCAGCTCCAACTATTCTAAGAAAAGAATAAATATTACCAGTTGTTCCATATACAAGTTATTTTCCATGTAAAATTGTCCCTTCTCAGAGTACAGCTGTGCCCTCTACTGGCATCATCTGAAGGACTGAGTTCACTGCAGAAAACCAGACACGCCACAGTACCTTTTGATTAAGTGTATACACCAAAAAGCCTCGTTATTTTTTTTTAGAACCCTAACCTGTAATGTACAGCTGCCTTTCCCTCACACATCAAATACTGCTTGTTGCTTTTGACAGAACAAGTCCCTCCTGGGAAGCCTTGTGCCACCAGAATAACTGCTTTTGTGTCATTTGCTAATAAGAAAAGGAGATATGTTTTAAAAAGACTGTGTTGCCAGGAACATGTGAATGATTCCTGGTAGTCACCATTCCTATATAAGTAACTTTCTTTGCCTTTCTGATGTGGATTTGTCCTGTCAAAGTGTTTAAATTTGTGTCAGGAAGTGATATATTTCCTTGAAAGTTTTTTCTGTGTTTCTTATGCCTTCAGATACAGAAGTTGAGCCATAGGAAATCAATTCACTTATAACAACATCTGCATTTCCAAGTATTTTAGTTCTGATCAATAGCTGTCAGACTTACAGACAGAATAGAATGTTCCATAACTTCAGGAACAAATTCCTACAGACGGTTTGAAAAAGTCAGATGTGTGTGGTAACACATGCCAAAATCTTCGTAGGAATAACGCTATATTAACAAGGGCCCAGAGCACAGCTAGTAATAAGTAAGCACTCACAAGTTAGTTTTCGTTTCAGTTCCAGTCTTCTGCAGTGGCTGACATATATATATATAATGTTCTGTTGTTGTTCAGTTCAAAGGTCTCACTCATCTTAAACGTTTTCTAGATCACCCAGGCTCTGACAGAAGAAAATCAAATTCCTTTTGCACGATTCCTTTATCTGGTTCAACTGCAGTCAAAGAAAGCAGTCAGCGTAAGGACCCACCGCTGGGTGTTAAGGACAGACCACAAACTACGTATCCTGAACAAGCAGCGACAGGTAAGACACCATTTCCAGTTTGAGGTGGGTGGGCAATATTCTCCATGGGCAGATCTTAGTGATTAAATTCTTTTAAGTTTGAAGGACACAGATGTCTCTAAATTTTTTGCACGTTTTCAGGTATTTAGTGTAATAACACCTCCAGACTTGATACAAATGTCTCATGAGTCTGTCTGTGTACAGCTACTCATATGTTCTCAGAAGTTCAGTCACTGGCCACTGAGAACATTGGCTTGTTCTTTTCCAGGGTCATATTCAGGCTGAGAACAGGTCTGGAAACCATAATAAAAATACAGAAAATAATAGCACACATTCAGTGTGAAAGACAGTAGTTGCTTAAGTCTGGATTATTATTTTTTTAAAAATTTTAAGCTGTGTATTTTATACCTCTACAAAACAGCTATTGACTGCAAAAACAGGTGACTAGGAGGAGGGGGACCATTCATTTCTACATGGTCTCATTCTTCCTACTGAACAGAGGTAGAAAAGGCCAGCTTCTGATTTGTGAAGCCTTCCTCTGCCTGCAGGTGAAGCTTTGTGAGCTTTTTTCACTAATTTTTTCAAGCTGGCCTATGATCGTTCTCACATCTTGCTGGCCGTCCTTCTCCACTTCAATTTATTTCCAAGTGATTATGTAATTTTTGGATAAATCAACAGACTAATTCATACAGGAAAATTAATCACAGAACTCTACTGGTGACAATCAGAAATCAGAATGACAGAGGCCATGTTCTCCAAAGCAACAATGGCTTTTGGTTATGAATTTTCTCTTGGCATTTACTGTACACTAAAAACCCCAATGTCAGTACTACATATTGTAACGAGTTTGTGAAAAGAGACAGAACCCAAAGCAGTTGATCATTTTGCCAGGAATATTACTTTTGTTACTAGTTTGGCTTTGACACATGTTCAAGTTCCCAGTTTCACAATACACGTTTCAAACCGTCCTGCTACCCTGAATTACCTATTATCTCTTCCTCCACTTTCAATGGGACAGAGTTTTCTCATCCATGTCAAGCCAAGCTGCTTGCATAAAGTTTAATACAGATGCTAGATGAACAGCACGAGACCTGAAAATCTCCTCCTCTTACACAATCTGAGCATGTAATAATCTTCAGAAACATTTATTTTCCGTAATCTGATCTTCATGAGTTTTGAACAAAAGATGAAAGTACACTGGACTACAAGCTAACTCTTCCTACTCCTTTCCTCTACTGGGTTTATATTTCTGGTGTTCATGCTATCACTTGCTAACAACTTCTAGAAGAAAAGAGCACTTGGTTTAGCTCATTTTGTTTCCTTTTCACTCAAGATCCTTGCTGCAAAGGAAACTGCTGTCAAATACTAGCCTGTCAAAGACAGACCATACTGAGCTGCATGACAGAAGGACGCCTCAACCACATCCTTGATGTCCTTCGCTCACAGCAAACGTTGTCCCGAATGGATTATGAAACAATTACCTCGTACCCCACAGTGACTGGGCGTGCTCGGGCATTGCTGGACACTTGTCTTTGCCTTGGGGAGAGGGCAGCACAGGTTGTAGTGACTGTGCTTTCAGTGACCAAATGTAGTCCTCTAGGACGAGGCAGCCATTGCTGACGCCTTCGAAGGTAAACAGGCTGTTGTGACTTATTTTTCTGCCATTTGTTACAGGCATCAGAGCACTGGTAATTTGAAATGGCAATGATTCATGTTAATTCCTCATAACCCATTGACTGAAGTCAATCCTTCCTACAGGCCATGATTTTAGTCCTCTAGTGGAAAAAGCTAGCTGGATTAAAAGGTTAAGTCAACCACTGCCTGCAGAAATCACCAAGACTGGTCTGACAAATTCTAATTTGGACCTCAGAGATGGGGAGTGCAATGTGTGCCAGAGCAAATACAGTTCAAGTCAGATGACACCTTATTTCCCATATTTTCTTAGAGGGGAGGAAAATGGATCATGACTTTTTGGAGGTCACACTATGGAAGAACGGCTGTTACTAAATCCTTCCAAATAAGGATAGCAAACAACTGGGTACTAGATGAGGAGAAAAAAATTACTGCCTTTCACTGAGCTCATATCTGAGCCAGCTGTTAGAGTGAAAGGCTTAAAAGAATCAAGAAATATTTCTTCAACAGGGCCTCACGTAAGACTTGGACATTTTATATTATGAATATAAATAGTTTTATTTTCACTCACAGATGGTCATGCTCTGAAAAAGGGGCACTGATAGCAGCACTTTGGAGAAGTGGGGCTTAATAATACCTTACATCTGTGTAGTTCTCTAAGTATGTCTGCAGTTCAAATGTAAAATTAAACCAGGAAGAAGAGGTGCCAAGCTGATAATTTTGAAACAGTGGTTGTTCTGAACTGTAAAGGAAGGTAGTAAGGTTATTTTAATTATAATGAACAGAGTTATATAAGATGGTGGTTTTTTTGAAGGCACAGCAGGATTCCTTCAAGCTTCATGGCACTGGATTAACATGAGAACTTGTTATACAATCTACAAGTATTTCAAATGCAAAACCATGTTACTCTGTTTCCCTCTCTTGCATTTGATCCCTCTGCAGTTTCAAGCTGCTCGCCGAATTTGGTAGTTTGGCAGGCTGCAATTTTTAACACAGTGATGATGTGTTTTCTAGACACATTTAAGGGATAAGAAATTTGTTACATCACATACTACAATGCTACTGGAACCATAAATATAATTTTTTTAACATAAAGTCATTAAACTGTAAGACTGCCTTGAGATAATATATTGTTACAGTTAAAAGCAACGTCTATCAGAATGTATTTAAAATAGCTTTCCATATTAAAGGCGCTAAACATCTACTTCACTCTTGAATTTTTTTCAGTCTGCATTTTAAATGGGAACTTTCAACAGCCTCTGCTAACAAAGGATGTCTTGCTTGTGAGGGAAAGAACTGATGTCATGGTGTTTTGCCTGTTTAGAAGGCATAAAATAATAAGAGTAAAACAGATAATAATTCACCTGCGGGAAATATTTACAGACTTTTAAGCGACAAACTGGCAGTATTGTTGAAACTTAATTATCAGCTTTCAAAAATTATTCCATTCCATTGTTCTGCTGGACACGTTTGTAAAAGACATGCCAGCTGGCAGGCTATGCTGATTTTTTGTCATTATTCTTTTGACATAGAAACAGTTTTGGCTCTTTACTTGAAACAGCTGCCTTGAGAATATAATTTGATTCCAGACCTAAGCCCAGTCTTAACTGTTAATTGCAGAACTGGCATCAAACTCGTGGAAGCACAAGTTTATCTCTACCAGACAGATTTTTGTTCTCTTCATATTTAGCTTTCCAATTCAAGTATTTGTAATAGGATGTGACGTTAGAGTTAGATCTATTACCATCATGGTTACCCAAATTTTTTAAAATATAACCCAAGAAGGCAGTTTATAACCTATTACAAAACAAAGGCAAATTTGTTACTTCATGTGCAAAAGAGCCTGAATAGAATTCTTTAAATATGCTATTTAATAATTAACTCTATCCACAATCAGATTTTTGCCACCTTGCTCAACTGAAATAAATTCATGTGTTTGAAATTTTTTGTATTGCTACTTTGGCTGAAAGCATTCTCATAACTAGCTATGCCATTGCCAAAGCCTCGCTGTAAACATACTGAAGTTGATCTAGCCAAATGCACAGACTTCCTCATAACTCCCCCTTCTGTAATGTAAACATCTAAATTTTGTGGGTTTTGACAGTTGCAGGTGTTGGGAGTCTTTCAGTGTGGTATTTTTGAAGGGATTCTACTAGTTTATTGAAAGGAAACTGCTGTTGATATAAAAAGTTTTGATACAAAGCTAGAATACAGGGACCTCAAACTAGCATAATTTTATTTTGTCTCACCAAAAATACCTACTCGTGTAAGGCCTATAATGTGTTGGCTACGTAACAAAGACATTAAGGCAATGTGTTGATCACTGATGTGAAATATCAAACTGCTCAAAGCTTACGGCATTCTCTTTGTACCCAAGCTAGCTCAGTAGCTAAAGTTTCTATTGTCCTTGCCTCTGTTCTGGAGCTCTCTTGATATCACAAAACACCACAGAATAAATGATACTGAGTGAGAGTAAAGACAGAAGAATCAAACTGTTCTTTAGTATCTATGGGAAGAAACAAGACTTGAATCTGAAGAATGTCTAGAGTCCCAGGAAGGAAATATAAAACATGGGTAACTCTAGAAAACAGCAAAGGGAGTCATAAAGAGAAGTCACTTCAGGAATGACCATACAAAGTCACTAGTCAAACTCTCTCTTGCAGTTACTCAGAAAAGACAAAAGTAGGATTAATAAATGTTAAAAATGATAAATTGCATTCAAATTCTATTAAGCTACTCAGATTAAAGGAACAGTAAGTGGAGAAGGCAGATAGTTATTTTTCCATCTCGATTGTAATATATTTTTCTTCTTGATGCTGGCTGCAGCTGTCTTTTGCTGACTTGTAAAAAGATGACTGTCCCTTGACCTTTTTCCTATCTATACAACACCTTTATCTTAGCTGGGATACTTCCTGCAATGTAAGAATGTCTGCACTAGAATTTGTTTGAGGTTAATTTCTGGAAAATTAATCTGAGGTACTGGAATGAAATGTCTAAGATTAGTCCTTCCAGTAGAGAACAAAACAAACACAGCTATAAATACCGCTCAATAGTTGTCACCAGTGCCTGTTAAAAACAGAGTTCCAGAGAACAACAGAGGAAGACAACAAGTGCATATTCATAAAATACTAATCTACAAATATTTTTAAAGTGCACTAATGGACTGCTAACGTACACAGAAGAATTTTACACCAGGTAGGTAGCCTAAAATGTACAAAAACTGAAGCACTAACCAAAACATAATCAACCTCAAGGATTTTTATTTTATTGTTTCAAGTCTGAATTCTACATAACCTTGTAAACACTTGCATGCTTGCACAGCTTTAGTCACTTGAGCTATTCAGGAAGATTTGTAACGAAGGTTAAGTGCATATATAAGTGTGGGACTGCCATGTTAGGGAAGGACCCAATCATCATCAAGACGGACACAGTGAATTGAGGTTTCTTTACTGCTATTTATATTTATTTTAGCACTATACAGCTATTAACTATGGTCTCCACCAGTAATATATGTTATCTCTAAGACTGCTGGGTTTTTTATGCATCAAGAAATCTTGTCTTGTGCTGGAAATATTCCCACTTTTCCTGTCCCCTTTGCAAAATATTATACTGGAGCTTAAAAGGCCTTAGTAGGGTTTTGATTTTGTTCTTTATCAAAGGAAATAATCCCTTGCTTGCCTTGCCTGGTACTACATTCCCTTTAGTGGGCACACAGTCGACTTGACAGCTGGCATGTCAGCAGAGTTAAACAAAACTCCTGGGTTTTGAGGGTAAGTCAGTCCACCATAAATTAAACTACGTGACAAGGTCTGCAAAGCACATATTTAATGATTTATTTGTGCTCCAGTAAAGTCAGTGTAGCAGCAAGAATACATTAATTGTACAGTTAAATTCAGCATGTGATGAAGAAAGGCTGCTGGTGGTTGCACTATTGCATTTGGCTTAATCCCAACACGCCAAAAATGATAGACAAGAAGCTCAGCTGTACTATTTCCAGCTCTTCTGTTGATATGACAGAAATTTGTGATCAGTATTTTGTTATTTCCTGACTTTATTTCTCTTTGCCAATTATACATGCCACGCAAGAGTTACAGGGACCTACAGTCTCAAACTGCCATCTTTGCTGGCTTTAAGGTTGACCTTTCCTCTTCCACAGAAGTAAGATGTTGAAGAAACCGTGAACACCTTCAGCCAAGCTGAGTGAGATGGCAGTTGGTGATTTAGAATAAAAACTTCTTCACGCCTTGAAATGTGGTAACATTCCAAAGTATTTCAACACCTATCTCCAACTGTTGGTCTTGAACTTTCCACATAGCAACAGCAATACCCATATGAGCAGAAAGCGCACGCAGAATTTCACCCTTTCAGAAGTAACCTGGCTGTACTCCAGAAAGTTCTGTACAGTTAGTCCTTTCAAGGACAACCATTCATATCAGGTAACAGAATAACTACCAACATTCTATTTGTTTTCCTTTGTTGACTAAAAAGGGCTCAAAGCTTTATTTCAGCTCATTAGATTGTTACCTGGGGAAAAAAAAATGGGAGAAGTAACTAAGGAATACACCTGGACAATTAAAAAAAACCAACTGTATGAGACTTTTGACCTTGGAATAGCTGAAAAATATGTTCCCAACAGAAACGTCTCTATACCCCTTACATTTGCTGTGCTAGCATCCTGTCACAAAAGAACAGGAAACTAGAAGGATAAGACTGTGAGGTGAGTGCCTGCCACATTCACTCGTGTGTGTGCGAGGTGCCGAGGTAACCATCGTTTTCCACTCCACGCTGGCAATGTTGGAGCTGGAAAACAGAACTGAGCTCTAAGCATGGACTGCGGAGAGGTGAAAAGAGAGAGGAAGGCTGATAAGCAGTGAGGAAACTTGACATGATGAATCTGGACGTGTAAGGACAAATTGATAAAATTGTTTGTTTCGTCTAGCAAACGGGAGGCAAAGGGAAGATAAAATTTGAGTCTGAAGCAGGGGTAG